TTTTGCTCGTGTTATGAACATGAAAAGAACACGAACGAACTCAGAAACAACCACTCTTCGAAATTACAATTTACACGATAAGAAAGTTAGCATAAAAGAGATCTATAAAGACGACTGATGAGCTATCCACATGTACGCGTCCAAGGCTGGCAATATCGAAAGTTATTAAACGTATCATGGTTTTACAGGGTAAGATTCGCAACAATTGTTAAAGAGATTTTCAATATTTCTCATCATCTTTCGTATTGCGGTAATTCTAAACGGCGAAATACGTTTTCTGACAGAAGTGGTACGTATTAGGTTTCACATTTGTATAAAGATGCTGTATGTTGTAAAAAACGTGTGTATAAAAGAAAGACACTCTTCGGACAACCTAATACGTGAGTAACTTGTCCGTATTTCTAGATTCTAGAGCGTGGCTAGTACCGTAGATACTTTGGTTGGTTTTGCAAGTATCGACAGCGTCTTGATAACACGATGAAACCTTGCTCCAGCAACAGGCGCCGGTCCTCGCATACTCCATTACCACGAGGTTAATTGTGTTAGCGCGTGCCGCATCCGTTGCTTTCTGTTTCGCATTTCGCATTACGCATATGTGAACATACAAGCGTGATTGTAACCGATGCGTGAGATGCGTGTGTTACGATCGTGCCTCGTTGGCCATTAATCGCATAAAATAGTTACGCTTTCCTCAGTTTCCTTACGAACGAACTTTTTCAATATGCGAAGACAGGTTTGGCAAACGCGACAGATGCAATTCACGAATGGTCCATTTGATCGAAGATGAATTTTCCATTTATCAGAACGAGATTTCTCTCAAGACCAGATTCATTGAGTTTCTGCTGTGAGCTCTTTTGTTATTCGAAACACCGGCCAATATCTTATATATCATTTCCTTATATTACATATTCGTAAGAATAGACGAATCGAATAATCTGGAATTGAGTTATCGGATGATTTAAAAAATGATGATTAGTGGAAAAGAATGTCTGAAGGATTCCGAGCGTTCTGTCCGTCGACTTTTCTCTCTGACTCTGACTCGACTCTGAATCGAGTTTTCATAGCTCATTAACGAGTCTGAGACACTTTACGATAGACCATATTTTTTGAAAAGAATTTCCTACGATAACGTTACAATGTAATCCCGATTATTTCAATTAACTGAAATTTGATTTTTCTTAAGTATGCGTAAAACAGTTGTTAAGTGTTTGTAAAGACACACACATACACACACACACACACACACACACACACACACACACGTACACAGAGTTAATACCTACACGTACATGTAGAATACACTGCAATTTTTCTTCTATCTTCATACTCTGGTAAATACATGTTCTATAGAAGTGGATATTCTTTGCGTACGCTCCTATACATGTATAGTATATCGTGTTCGCATCTTATATTAGCATATACATATACCGAAATTTCCCTAGGGTCATGTAGATTATTTGAATCAGTAAATTTCGTAGCAATCTTACAAATCAAACTTTGAATACATTTGAATATATTTTATTTATAATCAAGAAACTTTTTTACAGCAGCAAAGATCGAAATATGCCCACAAGTGACGCAAGTTAGAAAATCTTTATTGGTTATTAAACCAATGTTTCAAAAGTTTTGTTTCAGCTTGTAATTTCACAGTATTATGCTATATATTTGTTTATTTATATGTCGATAAAACGCTATCTAAATCTGTGTTACAATTATGATATATATGTTATAAGTGTACTATAAGTATTTGCATAATTACAAATAGGAAAGGTGAAAAGAAAAGAAAAAAAATAGCGATAGCTACATAATATATTATATATTATAAAATTAAATATAGGCACAATTACAAAAATTCTACTTTTATAACATAAACTAGATCGTGCTTAAAGCTCTATATAAAGATTAAACGATATAAAGATTAAAATTTAAACGATGATTAGAGCAACCACTTTTTAACCAATGCGTGTCGCAAATATTAATAATTTAATAGGATAAATTACTTTTTTTACGCGAGAAGAGCTATATGTGTAGATATTAAAATCTTATCTTCTGAATTAGGACATCTACTCTGTCTATCACTTATAAAGGAACTACAGACAGACAGACAGACAGACAGACAGACACACAGACACACACACGACCACACACACACCCGATAATGAAATCGGCAGAGTTAATGAATAACAATCAATTTCATTCTGTATGCGCTTACTGGCGGTTCTGTATAGCTTAATTTCAATTTATATGTTAAATTATTAAACTCTGTTGTTCGTTAAATTAGTGAAATTGGAATTTCAATGACATAACAATTTCATTAAATATATATATTTCGAAGTATTAAATATCGATATACATATACAATACACGCAGTCACCCATCAAGCATCTCCTATAGAAATTTGTGAAATCTCCTATAGAAATTTGTCTTTAAATTTCATTTTTGTTTAAGTAAAATACTCGAACAAAAATTAAACATGCTTATGCCAAACTACTACTACTACTAGTTTTATGTAGATGTAGAATGCATCTCGTTCACCGAGATTAAAAACGTCAGATATTTCCTCTATTCTTTTATCTCGAGCTTGTATTTGCACACCTGTTTGTTCGATTTTTACGAACCGGTTAATTTTTCTTCGTGCCAGTTAACTAATATCAACAGCAAGTTAACCAATACGATATCATTTTTTAATAGTATTAAACATGTTAGGAAAGTGTTAAGTAATGTATTTTTCATGTAAATGAATTTCATATAAGAATTTTTTTTTTACATTTATTCTTACGTTTATTGCCATGTTAAGATAACATTAATTTTATTAATCATGATATAGAATGGGATAGAACGGATTACGATCGCTCAATTTTCAGTCGTTAGACATTTCGCAAGATGATGTCCACACGGAATATACGACGGGATAAAAGACAGACCATCTCTCACGACCACTTTCAGCTTCTTGTCAATAATGTCGTTCGTCCGGACGAGTTAAAAGCCATCTAACATAAATTAAAATTTCTAGCACATCGTACGACACGATTTGAAGTGCTATTAATATGATAGAAAATATCCACGGCAATGATAGATACATATAATTCGAAGCGAAAGCAATATAAAAAATAGTTGTAATAACCATTTAATTTGATCGTTATCGAGTTTCCTTCAAAATATTTGTCATACATTAACATTGACATATTGACACGAATGAAAATATATCTGCAAGATTCGTTTCACGGGACTATCTCCATTTTCTTGGATCGTGAAATAGATAATTTTGAAAAAAGATTTCTATCCGGTATCATCTAGAGATATTTGTACAATAGGTAGTAATAGTTTCATTAAGGCAGCGAGATATAAATATACGCTTCAGATGCATCGAATATCTATTTGTATTGTATCGTATCATTTTATAAATGCGCGTAAGGAGAAGAGTACCGTGGCATATGACGCTTGGTATTTGCATTTCTTTGTAAATAGATATATTTGTCATACATAAGCATTAGAATATTTATCCACGTGCTTGCTAACTTTCAGTCAAGTTGTGTGAAATTCTCCAGGCGAACAATGCAACAATCCGTACTCTCTCAGCTATGTAAACTGCTATGCGGCTTGACAGGAGTTCGATTCATCTCAAGTATCATCGCTAGCGATCCATCGTATCGATAGGATAAAGCATCGGATATCTCACGTATGTTTTACAACTATGTGGATAGCCCGACGGATTTAATCCACTTCGATTTAGTAGGCTGCCCCCTGGTATATCTTTATTCTAATATCGAGATAAAAAATCGATGGTACGAGCGAAATTGCTTGTTAACGTTAGCTAGACACGCGGTTTTCTTTTGCCGGCAACTTTTTTACTCGCCGATGTGATGGAACGTTAGAGAAATGTATTTTTTGTTCGACGCTGATCACAACTGTCGTAAAACTTTTCGTCTTTCTGCTACGATCCACGATTTCCTTCGTTCCTTTTTCAACCGGATTCCACTACGTTGCAAATTGTTTGATCGACAAAAAGTAAAAGTGCTTTACGAACGATGGAACGAACGGCTTTAAAACGAACTTTCGGTAAAGAGAGACAAGCTTTGATCGATACATTGCCGAATTTATACTGTACATGACTACGGTAAAGATGGTTGAGAGGTGGAAAGGCACGTAATTACAAGCAGCAAAAGTCAGCGTACTATCGTTCACCCTGCACATACGAAGCATTAGGATTAAACGATCAATTTCAAATTATTAGTAGTATTCCATAACGTGAAACACGATTTCATGTTCGTAATAGGTAGCCACGTACTAAACTGTAATGAAAAATCTGTGAGATACCGCAGGACTCGTGATATTCATTGATACCGATTCGGTTCGCTATTCGGTTGCTTCGTTAAATATTATTTTTGCCGAAAGGATCGTAAGAAATAGAAAAATGTTACATTACGGATCTGCAGTGAACTTTTTATTCAAAGAACCGAAATAATGGAAAATATGCGAACGTTCGTGTAACGAAAGTTTCCTCTGATATTCTATTTAGTGATTTTCATGGCGACTTAGCAACAATGATGTTAGTTACAGGGCTTGATTTTTATTCATGTCGCTTGGAACGAATTCATAATTTCAGTTGCTTGTGCAGTTCCATTCTTCGTAATAAATGTCCTGAAATTTTTCCCCTCGCTGTACAGTAATGGTAAATATATCAAAGTTTAAGAAAGTGTAACCTGAGAAACAAAGAACTCTGCTCTCAGAGAACGAGAGTTTATTATTAAGTGACCAAACTACTGTAACATGACATATTTATATTTTAAAAAATATGTATGCTCTTTATTAGCACGCGTGTAGAAAATTATAAAGGACCGTTATTTAGAAGACGAATATTAGTTCAGAAAGAGCAGATAGAGCAGATAGAAATAATATAATTACGATTAATATCGATTAGGTTATGAGAGAATAAAAGTACAAGTTTGTTAAAATCAACTGAAATTGAAAAAATGCTAAAACTACTTTTTATGTTGCAGGGCTAAAGCTGTTTTCAAGGAGGACGCGATGGAATGAGTTTTCAATGAAATTGCGGACGTGACAAAATGTTGCGAAACGTAGTTGGAGCAAACGAAAGGAATCGACAGTATGATGCTGAAACGTCGATTGAAACGAGGATCGTCGGAAGTATCGTGGAAACAGGCATGATTGTGAGCAGAGACAGAAGCATTCTTGTCCTCGTTCGAAATGGCGAATATCTGCAAATAATTTTCTGTTAGTCCCTGGACGTAGCGAGAAGGGGTTGTTGAAAGGTATCTCCCGTGAACCGGTGCGATTCCCCATGTATCTTTAATGCAACCTTTCTCCTCTGGAATTCAATGTACTTAATAGGCGTATTCCCTTATCACGACATAGAAATGGTTCGTCGTTCGCGCGACAAACAACGATTCTTGGTATCGGTTGTAACTCGAATAGAGAAGGATCTTTTCGGAGACATTCGCACGGAATGTCGTTCGATCGTCGTTGTGAATAATCGTCTTTCCGATTTCAAGTCGAGATGTTCCCGAGAGTAGAAAGCTATCTGGGAATTCTTGGTATCTATCATTCTTGTATCTCCAGCTCGAAGAAGAATATTTGAACTGTGCGAAAATTAACAAGACCAGCGAGAAAGCGATTGCACGGAAGATGAGAGGCGAATCTTCTTTCATAACGACAAACAGATCGGCGAGTAAGTCTGTTCCATTGACTACAGAAGGAAAAAGAAACGACACTGATCGATGATCGACTTATCATTCGCGATAAAGAGCAGAGGATAGGAAAGAATACACATTAAAAATCTATATAGATAAGAGGACCGGAAAAGTGGTGGGCCGGAGAGAGGACGCGTGACACAAGACGCGTAAACGGTAAGGGCAAAAAGGAGAAGAGACGGACGTATTTTGAAGTGCGCTCGAGGCGTGAAATGAAATAACGTAAAGTTTACATCGTGTTCAGGATGTCAGTCCATCGGGCGTAGAGAAAAAAATCAGTGGTAATTCGTGGAGAATTGCGGTCGGAGTTTCTTTAACGATACCGGCTAAACGTTTTCAGCGGGAGGTAATTAGTCGTGGAGGTTGGAATCGTGAAATGCGAGAATACAACAGGAAAGACGCTGCTATCATTACGTGATCAAAACGTGATAAGAAAGCATAGGTACATTGGCAGAATGAATTAATTAATTAATTTAGAGCGATGGAAGGAATAAAGAACGACAATGGATTAGCACCATCGATGGAAAATGAAGGCAGTACATCGATATCGTCTGAAATGGCATCAGTCTTTGGATCGTTCTGGATCTAGAATATTGATATTCGGATGAGAAAAGTCTTCTTCGCCGTATAAAGGTAACCCACGAAAACAATACGAATCGGTGCAATAGGTCAATGGCTGAGCACTTGCTTGTTAATCGAATGGAAGCCTGTTAGAGGCGCTCGCGCGTGAAACAGAAGTGGAAGCGAGCATAGTCGGTGACTCGGCCATGCCAGTTGTCCGCCTGCCTCGTGCCGCAAACAAAATCTGCATAAAGTGGCGACAAGCGTCGTCAACTTCATTATACCTGTATCGTATCGATACGGAAGAAATGAAACGCGTTCCTGTCTTTGGATACTCTGGAAATCGTCTGAGAATTGGCGATCGTTGCGACCTAAAAAGCTAATAAAACAAACTGTGACATCGAAGAAGGATAAAATATAACGATCTGATTAACTGTAGCTGTAATATGTGCCGGTATAGTATATGATAAATCGTAGGGCTGATTTGATACAAGTGTGAATCGTAAAAAGGTAAAACGAAAAGTGATTGGAAAAACTAGTTTAATACGTTCGTCTTGAACCGATGAAACGAATCGTGTTGATCGAATGTTTTTAAATCGGTATTTGTTCGAGGTGCGTAGTCACCTTTACGTAATTTCCAATAAAAGACTCGTACTAAAGTTCGTACTAAATTAAGGGTAAATCAAAAGATAATCGAAAGACGCGTATCCAAAGATAGATAGTTTGTCAGCGAATTAAGAAATTTTTGCGAGAAAAATGCAGAACCTCCAAGTTTTTGTAAATTCAACGCCCGACCCGTTGAACATGACACTACTGATGGAAAATAACACTTACTACAATAACACGAATATCACGGATTTACAATTGAGAAATCAATTCATACTTCCGTGGTGGAGACAAATGATCTGGACCTTGTTGTTCGCCTGTATGATCGTCGTGGCAACTGGTGGCAACCTGATAGTCATTTGGATTGTATTAGCGCACAAACGGATGCGCACGGTCACTAATTATTTCTTGGTAAACTTAAGCATCGCAGACGCTATGGTGTCTACGTTGAACGTTACGTTCAATTACATCTACATGTTGAACAGTCACTGGCCCTTTGGCACGCTCTACTGCAAGATCTGTCAGTTCGTCGCTGTGCTCACTATATGCGCCAGTGTCTTCACTTTAATGGCAATTTCTATAGATAGGTAAGCGCGTTATTCTTACTCAGAAGTCGAATCGAACAAAATGTTCATATTCATATGTATTCGTGTTCGATTTATTTGTTGGTTTAGTAAAAAATTATACAGATAGAAGTAATCTTACAATTAGAAAAGAGACAAAGTACTCTTCTGTTTATCGTGAATTGTTTATCGAGCTGTTTGTCTTTGCGAGACATACGCAAATATTTGCATTTTAATACATCAGAATCCAAATTGCATGATATTTCAGTGATATTTCGATATTTATTTAGGACGAGTTTCGACGATTATACGCAATATCGGATAATACCTTATCTTAATACAGTTAGCCCGTGGCTCGGAATTATTTCGCAGAACAGCATTGCAAATTTCAACCTATCGTAAACTTCTATCTAATTGAACTCCTATTATCAAGGATTATGATTTAGAACTCGACTACCTCGGCTGCTTCGAGCCAAACTACGCGGCGGTGTTTGAAAGCCGATTAAATACAATTTAATAGCTAATTAATTTTGCTCCGATAGTTACGATTGAGAGTCTTAGGAAAAGGTCGAAAAGATGAAATCTGTGAAATGGAACCGCCATGCGAAAGATTACACGTCCATAAACTGGACGAATATGCGGTTAGCTTTGGCCTCGACTGCGCGCACATAGAAACGCCACCTTGACAATTCGTCGCTCGAGGAAAATAAATAACGCTCGGGCCAGACTACAGACGGGCGAAACAACGGATGAAAATCACGATCTCAAAGACGGAAATGCAGCTTTCTCTGTAGGCAGACATTCCAATCTTTGTTGGACAATTTTAACTGTGTACGTGCTGTGTACGTGGAAACGTACAAAGAAAACGTAATTTCCGATTCACTGGCTTTTTCCTGAAATTTAAATTCAACCCTTTAATCAACCGACGTTACCTTTTACTTCTACTTGATAATCATTTATATGTAATATTATTAAGTAATTCCTGCAAGTAACAACTGCAGGTTATTATTGAAAATTTTGATCCATTAGACTGGGAATTATCGATAAAGTAATTATTCGGTTATTTTTTTAATCATAAAATTCTTAATAATTGGTGAAACGTTTCAAAATTTCCAAACTCGCGTCGAATATTAATGAAACGCTTGTGACATAATTCTTTTCAAGTAGCTATACTATATGCATACATATTTTATTCATTCCCGGTGTGTAAGTATGTGTAATAATTGAATAACAGATTTATGAAAATTTAAGTTAGTAATTTAGTCCGTTTCGCTAGAGTCAAAGATAAACAAACATAACTAGAACGTTTCCCGTAATTACAGGTATTACAGGTATTACAGGTATTACAGGTATTACAGATATTACAGGTATTAAGATAATGCTTAAAACTGCATTATTGTCGGTATCAAACGCTGCCTGTGTTTATTTACAAATCGCATAAATTATCGTCCTTCTAATACATATTCGCAGTTACGATTCCAAATATGTTTGAAAAATGTACGAAATACATGTAAAATACTTTTGCGAAAGCGCGTCGCCTATACCCGTAACTAATCTCTTGGTTTGCGAGATCGGACGAAAGCTAACTTTGCGTGGCGTAGCCTCGTCGAAAAATTCCTCGAGGACCTGCCACAGAATAGTACACGATATACTTATGATAGTGTAGAAACAACAAATAAATCTGAAGCTTCTGAACGGGTGGTTCAAAGGTCTTTTACGAATATTAACCGCGAGAATCTCTTTGGAAAAATCTATTTAAAAAACATGCTTTTGGCGGCGGTAGTTTTTCGATCACGATCAAGCATAGGTAGACCGTAAACGACGTCGAATCGAATCGAATGGAATCGGCGTCGATGATTTCCAATAGCTCGATAGCCCCGTGACTATATCGAAGAATTATGCTTCAACGATTCGGAGAGAAGAACGTGAATGGCACGTCGTACTCGCATGCCTGTGACACTGCCGATAAATGATAATGTGCGTTATCGAGACTGCAAGAGAAGCTCAGGTTCCAGAATTTCTGGTGGAACGAACGGCATTTCAATTGTGAAAGAAACCATCACGATTCGCTGTGAGGACGTGTATGCACGATATATAGCTTGAGTCTCGACTAAACTCGAGTATCTTCGGCGCATACCATCTTTCCTAGTATTAAATAGTTAACAGGTCGTATTAACGGTCAAGTTATCAGCCGAATAACTGAGCGATTTTCAAACAGAGCGCCGCGACTAACTATTTATCCAGACGCACTGCCCTCTTTTTCTTTACATTGTCAAATAAGAAAATGACGATAGCCAAAATAATAGCCGTCTGATAAATGCTGCGGCTCGAACCAAGTGCGATATATTTTTTGGTGTGCCAGAGAATTTTGTCAATTAGTTTATGTCCGCCATAAAGTGAAAAATATTGAAAATCGCTGGAATAATCGAATAAGATCGATGCAGAAACAAGCGACAGGCGTCGAAAGATGTAAAGAGTACCTTATACATTGAAACATGTTGCGATTTGCGATTAGGTTTTACCATCGCGGATTCGGGTGTCCCGATGCTCGCTTGTATCCAAAATCCAAACCGTCAGCCCCCACCGATCATCCGCGCTATCATGCTATACATACATGCATATGTGCGTTGCACACGGTGGTGATCTGGCATGCGTCAGACGCACCTATGCTAATATACTGGATAGCAATGCATTTGTTTTTCTAGAAGTGGTTTTCAAGTGTTGCGTTCGCATCAGACGCGTTAGAAACAGTCTAAATGCTATCCAGCTACGATCTATAATTTACAGAAGCTTTTATTTTGGGACATCGTACCTAATCTAAAAAATAGAGTGACAAGAGTGCAGGATTTTATAAATGACAGGCCTATTTGCGACGCATGCATCGACACCCAGGTTTCGCGTTAACACTCGTGATTAGTATACAGGTTGGAATATATGTAGATCCGTATCGGCGAAACGGTGTCAAAAGCAACTTGTATCGATGCTAACAACGATGGAAATTGAGAAGAAAGACTAATCGTCGGTAAAGAGGCGAGAATCGAATGAAGAAGCGAGATAGATCTCTACGATTGCATGTGAATGCGAAGCATTGTGAATAACGTTAATCGGCCACCACGTCGATACCTCTGAATTAGCAATTGAAAGCAAAGTCGTTTAAACTGGTTCGTTGCAAGCAAAGAGCAGCCGCGAGAGTGTCGCGTAAACTTGAGACTTGGATTATGAGAACAAGAAGGTTGAGCCGTAACCCAACGGTTAACTTTCTTTTTATCAAGCTTTTATTTTACAGAGGTAGAATTATACCGAATCAGAGTAAGGCTGAACAAGAACTGCTCGAGCTGGCTCGAGTCTCGGCTTATATGCGTTTTGATTTGGGGATGTCGGTGTAGGGATTCGGTGTAGGTTATGATGCGCAAAAGAGTACGAAGGTCGGGGATCGATGTCTTATCTCTGGTGTGGATTAAGACGTGGTTGATGAATGCCTCGCTTGGAAATTAATATTAATGACGGGAACGGGAAGACCGAGACAGACGCATTTTCAAAATAATAGATCGATCCTATAAGCCAAAGCCAATGGATAGAAGCAGTTTATAAAAGATATTTGGTCGTTATTATCTATGCTCGTTTGTGAAGAACTATGAAAATATTAGAAAATTAAGTATTTACCAAATAATACGTACAATTATAAACGATATTAAGAATTCTTAAAATAGACAAGTGGGATTGTTAGGAATCGATTCAAACTCAACTTCTTTTTCAAACTCAAATACCAAGTACAAAAGAATAAAATTATACTATTATCGCCTTGGAGTACATATTAAAGGGAATGGTGCGGGAGAAAATGTATAGAAGATGAGATTTCTAGCATTATGCTTGCAATTTCGTAGATCAGTGAATCGTGTACTGAAAAGCACAGACTTGCAATGTAAACGTACTCTACAAAGAATACGTAGAAAGGGGCGATGGCGCAGAAAATAGTTTGTACATATGTGGCAAAAATGCTTTACCCTTCGAACGTAGCGAGAATTTCGCTATGTCGACTATGTATGGGGAAGTGACCTTTCTTTTCTGCCTTTCTTTTCTGCCATTCTTTTCTGCCATTCTTTTCTGCCATTCTTTTCTGCCTTTCTTTTCTGCATGAAAGAAAGAAAGAACGCAACATTGATATGTAAGCTGTAAGCTTACAGCTGTGCCGGTCGCTCGTCAACGAATGAATATAATTTCAAGGATTGCGTTAATTTTCGTAAAATCGCTTATGACGCTTATAACGCTTATGACGAAGCAAGTAAAAATCTAACCGAACATTGTTAAACTTTCGTTTCATCGAATCTCGATTTACAGAAATTTGGATAATTAAATCGCTTAGCGATAACGCTTAACGACTGGCTTCGTGAAATGGAACGATTTCATTGTCCCGACAAAGTCGCTTATTACTCGTCCTGTTACTTACTCCTGTTCGCAACAATAATATAACACTCGATATAATAACGACATTGCCGGAGTAAGTACATATTTTTTGTTGCAACGTGCGACTAGTTGTGCGATAATTTTATTAATATTTATATACATATTCGCATATTATGCCAATGTTATGGTATTATGGTAATTTGTAGGCGATATGTAGTCTGTTTGGGAGTAATATAGAGAAGCTATCGCAAAATCGATCTCGACCTTCGGACTTAAATTTTGTTATCGCATCGCATTCTACTCCCTCACCGGGATCGAATTTATCGAGGGAATTATGGGCCGCTCTCTCGTCAAATTCGACCGTTCTCTTGACAAACATACGTTAAAGTTCCACTAAATCTTCTTACATCGACATCCTTTTCCGATATCTTTAGATTCCGCAGTCAGATAGGAATGCAACATAGTTCTTCTTCATAGTCGAGTTTCATACAACCAGCAGGTAACAAGTTATTTGTAATTAATGGTTCTCATCGACTCACCCGGCGCACTTTTATCACGAGGAGTTATCGTCTACGAGCTTCCTTCTGTATGCGACAACCGTGTAGCACTCTACGTATTTATAATGCTCGCTCTAGTCTAGTTAAATTTGTCAATAAATCGATTAAATATGTTTATCTTCTTACTACGAAGATATGCATAAATAAACAGGAAAATATGAAGAACATAAACCATAATTCGAATTTTAATCAAAATGCCTATGGTGCTATTTCCCGACCATTGGAAAACCGATTAAAATTCCAATGCCACTGTTGGTGTCGGTGGTGCGAAGGTTCGATCGATCGGCAAAAACATTCCGGTACTCGACAGAAAATAACGCGTGAATCTTAATTTCATCGTCAGTAACGAACGATTCGATTTCGAAGTCTCGCGTGTCAAACTGGTGTCTACGTTATAATTTTAATTGATTTATAATCGATAATGTGAAGATATCGCCAGTAAAGATATTCTTTTCACACCCAATAATTTACTGTATACAGTTTTATGCATATGTATGTATATGAAAAGTTGCATCACGCAAATTGTTACCGTTTGGCAACAACCGTTAGCAACACTGGAATGGACGAAACGAACAAATGAAATAGGATATCTTGAAAATTATTTGTCGCAATCTTTTCAATCGTAAGTGATTTCTGACAGTGTTTGTGATAGTGTTTCTGACATGTAAGCGCACAACGGGACTCAACATCAACTGTAAAAAAACATTATGAGCTTTCGCGTGTACGACGTACTCGAAAGCAGTTTATATTTATTACTATGAAAAATGCAATTTCACTTGCATTATTATTTACATTTACCTTTACCTTTTTACCATACTTGCCTTTACCATATTTACGTTTCGGTCTTTCGAAATTATTCCCTTGAAATCTTATTAAAAGTATGACGTAGACATTCACAATGAAGAAATTTCTTCGCATACGAAGTTTTGCATATCTTGCATACCGGAAACATACTTCGTAGATTAGTAGCATACCGATTCGTTTAACCGACGTTAAACGAATCTCTTAGATTTATTTCCTCTCTGACGTAGATCGCGAAACTAACGTGGAGTAATTGGTCGGATCTGAATTCGGATCTGAATTCGGATCTGTTTGAAAGCGACCTGTGGTGAATGCACGAGACATAACTGTCCGGTGTTTCTCGTGACTCCCTGGCTTGAGAGTTTGGACACAGTCTTTCCTTTATTGCGAAAAGAACGCAGTTTGATCGATCGATTCATCGGCGAAGCGGCAATTTCATCGTTCAATATCGGTATGCTTATAAATGGAGGATAACGGGAACATTTGCGAGCGTGGTCTTTGCACGCCTTTGCCTATGAAATCGTAGAGAGAATAAGAAAGCAGTGAAAAGTAGAAGGAGGATACGCCGGATACGTGGACGTGGACGTGAGACAATGGAAAGACATCGCTCGATACCTCTAGGAAAGGGAACGTATCAGACTCGCGCATCTAACGAACTAACGAAGGCGTGAGATTTTTGAAGAAAAAATAATCAATATATTTTCTTTATCCGTATGCAATCGTATAAGGCGGTAACAGCGTTTAAAGTTGGAAGTTGAAACTATTTTTGGAATAGCTCTGGAATTAGAGATCGTAGGAAAAAATGCTGCTTAATTACAATGATAAATGTACTTATTCGAAAAATATAATTCGGAAGAATAGAATATTAGAGCGGTGTGCTTGGATTTAAGGGAAGTAAACTGGATTTAAAGCAAGTAACGATCGAATAAGTATAGATTGAAATAAACGTAAAATAAAAGATGAAAAGCACGAGAATGATCAAAGTACGAAAGATTCAGGTGGATAAAATCGATCGAGTGTCTAGTTTCTAGAATGAGAGATGCTTCGAGTTGGTAAGTGGTAACGTGTATGCAGTTTCTCGCACGATTGCGTTCACAAGACATCGGACAGTTTGCAGAAATTTCAGGTCAAGATATCGTCCGTGTGAAGCATCGAGTTGCGAGAAGCTATCGTTTCTGAAACTTTCGTACGTTGATAGAGTACGCTTTCGCGCTGGCATGTCATATAACTTTGATATTCTTTAAAACTTGTACTTTTCCTTATATTTAAAAGCGAAGATTAAAATGGACGACAGTCACAAGATATTTCTTATGCGTGTATATATATATATATATATATATATATATATATATATATATATATATATACTGGTACGCATGTTGCACGTAGTAATAAACTTTAAAAGATGAAATTTTTACACAATCTTCGCGCACATTTCAATTGCTCAAAACACTTGTTAAAAAATGTTGTTTTACTGTGCGATAGACGAAATTTTGTTTCAACAGCAACGTAGAAGAGCAGCAAGCACGTATATTGCATTTACATACGTATGTGCTTTCGATTGGATCTGGTGATTATACAGGTTGCGAAATAGAACGAATAAAAGTTGTTGGAAAGATTGACCTGTTGGTCGAAGCAAACGAAAATCACGTTTGAGAAAAAGTGAACGTGCGGCGAATAGCAAGCGTGAAAAGGAGTATTTAATGATTTTCTTAAACATCTTTGTCAATCGGATTCTTCGGGCTACTCTGTTCTATAATTATTATTATTTCACATTTTATAAAGCGCGGTGTATGACTAAAATACCCGTAGTTGCCTATACAAACAGTTATTCTATACGTCAAATACGTATAACGAGATACGTAAGAATTCATATTATTTTTTATATGAAACATGCGATTGGAGCGATAAACACGTTGATATTTTCAATTCAACGTTCTTCGAAACCTTAATTTATAAGCAGAGCCATCTTTTTCTTTACGCATATGGCATCAAAATTATTTATATAAACATCGCATTAACGTGCATCGACAAACACGATACATTGCTCGATCAAGTACATATATGTACATAATGATATCGTTATATCAAAGATCTATGTAACATACAGCGAACAGCATTGAGAAATTGCAATATAATTATAGCTGGAGATAAATTATATGTCTTATGTAGAGGTACTTGGGTATATGTCATTGTCCATAGGCATGATGAACCGAACAGACTATTATTATTTATCAAATATATATGTAGTAATTATTGTACGATGAACCATGCCGATTCGAATAGGTCAATTTTTCTTCTTAACAATAATTTATCGTATATGCGAAACATTTTGTTGCAAGTTGGCTTTATCGAAGTTTACGCAAAGAAAGTGGACATTCTTTGGCATCTAAAATCTCGATTCTATTTCAAAGGCGAGGATATATTCAACTCGTATGCATTTCAAAGATACTTCTGTTTACAGTGGATTTGACATTCAACAGACGTAAACCTTCCGTCGTAAACATTCTATAGTGACCTATATTGCAAGAGCCGCATAAGAATTGTTCGATCGCTATCGTTTCGTTTACCATCATAAACTTGTACTTTTTTATTTTTTACATTTTTACTTTTTATACATATACATTTACTTTTAATTATGGAAGAAAAATTATTTTGGCAATTTTGAATATTACGTTTTCTTACCGATAGAGTATCGATTAATTTTTGCTGTTATCGTTTGTTGTTGTCAAATTACCGAAAATCACTGAAAAATTGTTAAAACGCGACGACGTTACAATGACGGACGATTGAAAACGAAGAAACATAAAAAGCTGCAACAAGATTTTACGTAGAATAAAAGAAATAAGTGAAATCGCATTTTCCCTGGTTGACAAAGAATTTCACGATTCAGATTCACATTGGAAAACTTTGGGGATAGATTTGAACGACGCGACACGACGCGACACGACGCGATACGACGCGACGCAAGAAAGACCGTATTGAATGAAATTTAAAAAGCGTGTAAGTATGTCAGTCGTTAATCCAATCTGCAAGTGTAATAGCGCAAGCTACCCTCTGATTTTTTTCTCTCACACCATACAATCAGTTACACCATACAAATTAAGATTTAATTTAATTTTCTTGTAACAACTATCCTACCCATTCGCTAATAATCTTTTAAATGTATGCTTTTTGACAAGTAATCTCTTAGTTTAGCTTTGCTTCGGTTCTACAGATATGAAAACACTGGTTCATATAACGTGTTTCATGGTACAATTCACTTTATAAACGACGCGAGACAGTAAGTACAACGATAAAAGTCTCACTTTCGTATTATCGTGTTACTATTATGCGAGTGACTGGCTGTAATTAATTCGAGATTAAGTTTATTGCAGGAAATGTGAAATTACATGAAATTTATGTAAGATTAATATGATGATGATTGCATAAAAGCAAGCACACCTTCCCGATCCCAGTAACAAAATTACTCAGGACATTGACTTTAACAACATATTTCAAAATCGTTAAAATTCATGAGTTGCGTCCTGCTCTATGTATGCACGCAGTATACATACATATATAACTATCATTAATGTCCATAATGATATGGTAAATAGTAGAACTAGTACATAGCATAGCTCGAACACTTTGACTGCCACGCCGAAATTACATGTTTCGCCGAGGACGCCACGGGAGTATTTTTATTATTCAAAGCATATAATGGGAAGATAATAATAAGACAACATTGTTGCCCAATGGACTGTTTGTCTTATTGGTGGTCACGGGTGATAGCGACATATTATAACAACGCTTCGTTTATTTCAACAAACCATTCACATTCGTTATTTCGTCGTAAGCAAATCATACAGAATATATTGTTGAAACATTTGATGTTTTAATAAAAATATTTAATTGTTCGATGGGACACTTTTTATTTCAAGGTATCTTCTGTTTATTCGTTGTATTCAAAATGGCCCAACTGTCAATTTTCATTCAATTTTTACAATTATAAGAAGTGGCGTCACATATATGACCAACGTGGCTGTCAAAGTGTTAATATCACGAAAGATTCGTCCTTTATTTGCATTATAATCTTCCAGTTTAGTGTTTGTATCGATTGCTGCTAGGTTCATATGCATTAAAAAATATATTTTAACAGTTAATACGTATCGTGTATTGCAGATACATGGCCATCATGAACCCGTTGAGACCTCACATGGGTAAAAGAGCTACCCTCTGCATAGCGATTTTCATTTGGATCGTAGGAGCTATCCTCTCGCTACCGATGCTACTCTTCTACACAACATACACTCAAAACTTTGCAAACGGCGAAATACGAGTGATCTGCTACGGCGATTTTCCCAACAGAGACGACAATGGTCTCAGTTACGACGAATACTTGTGAGCTTATCTTAATAATCGAAACGCAACCTTTTTCTTTCCTATCTCATGCATGCTAATTCGTGCTGAAACGGTACAAGCGTCTCATTATACTTTCTCGAAGAACCAACCTTTTCAAGAACCGTAGAATTTCACTGCGAAGCAATGTGGAATTAAAGCTACGTGAAAAGGTAAATTTTAAAGGTTAAAACGATCGCAGGAAACGTTATAAACGAAATTTCAAAAGGGCGCCGTTTTTATCTCTTAAAATTTTGCTTATCGCGAACAACTATAATGAGCAAATCCTTGCACCGTTCGATATCGATCACAGATATCATCTAACAACTGGTTTATGACGCGTAAACGATCGGCTCTGCCGATCAGTCAGCTTACCATAAAACGAATTTTGCTTAGTCTGCGAGCAACATCATCAATTACTCGACCGATGAAACGACCAAAAGAATCGACGACTCGTTATTTCAGTTTTCCCGTGAAAATATACACAAGTGTGACCAACCTTGATACAACCAACATACAAATACAAAGAACAGACAAAATGATATATATATATATATATATATATATATATATATATATATCCTTTGTCTTTTTTATTTCGAGAAAGGAATTCAACGTCGTATCATTTTGTCTGTTCTCTTTCTCTCTGTATACATAGTTTTAGATAGTCGATTGAAGTCTTTATACATACAAATATAAATATCTAGACTATTTAGAGAGATAAATGAACGATTCAAATAATTCCTACATAAATCTGAATTTGTGTAACACGAGCGAAACGCATATCGCATTTTCATAAAACGAAATACTAAATTGTAAATACTAAAAGAGGAAAACACTGTAATAACATTGAACAACTCATAAATAATGTTGATCGATTTATGGTTGCACAATTGTACGTACAGAATGTAACAATGCGCGACAATATCGATCGATTATTATGCGTTAATGTTTCATTCTAGTTACAAATGTAAATAATGCAATTTTGTAGTTTAGCTCAGTTTGTGTATGAAAATACACTCTACTCCACTTACTCTAGAATGAAATACTCGAGTTCACTGTGCAAACGTTCGTGCACATAGAATAGAAGTTCCTTTGAAAACATTTTTTAACGGAACGTACGTACAGTTCGGTAGTTTCATCAACACACTTTCTAAAGATGAGGAAATAATCTGCAATTTCCTCGATTTAATGGATTCGAACACTCTGCATCGAGTTTCATCGGTGTTACTTTTAATTACCAACTGGAGCTGATAAAAGTGCAGTTCAAAGTTTTATTCAACTACCACACAAAGCTATCACTACTATGCTTTGAGCTCGATCACAGAATTCATTGAAAGCGAAATGCTTTAAGCATGTTTAAGCACGACGTCGTTGTTGCGTATCTTTGTTCGCATTCTTTCTACTCGCTTGAAAATTTTAAGATAAATCAAATTCATGGTTCGTGTACATAAACATTTTTATATTATTATACTATACGGGAGACTTTTTAACGGACAAACGGTTATATGAGGAAATAAATATAAATATAAATGGCGTAACGTATGACCGACATATCAAGGAAATACGAATTCATATTACTCGAAACATATGCTCCAATGTGAATAACCACGTGTATTCAAATACAACGTCTCCTGTTTTCAGATATAATGTGATCTTTATGGTACTGACGTATGTTTTACCAATCGGATCGATGACGTTCACGTACGCCAGAATTGGTTTGGAGTTATGGGGTTCGCAAAGCATCGGCGAAAATACCGCCGGGCAATTGGAAGGTATAAGGAGTAAGCGCAGGGTATGTAAATCACGAGGGAATGAAATCATCTCTTTTATTATGCTTTGTGTTTCATTGAAGAAAAAAACAGGGAAAGAGAGCGACGATAATCGTTAACTTTAATTATTACTAATTATTACTAATTACCGTCGCACTTTATCAAACGATAACTAATCCCTTGATCTGGACGATTTTCCATTCCTCGAAAACATTCGTCTCTTGTTCTATCTATATCATCGAATATCGGAAATTTGTACTTTGAAAAATGGTTTTAAATGCAGAAAGATGGCCGGATACCCGTGATATAAAACGAAATGGGATGCAACGAAACTAAAAGTTCGATTCTAATAGTTCAAGTTCTCGTGTGGTTATTTTCGACACACGACAGCTTTTACGTTATCATGAAACAAGATTGGTTTCCATTTGTTCCCCAACGCGGCTTGTTTCGTTATTAATCCCACGTTTCGTTATTAAACCACGTACGATTTCATCTACTTGTTTACAATATGTTTCTGTTGTAGTTGTAGCCCCAGGTTATGACGAACAGGAATAAATGTCTTGCATATGACCACCAAACAATCACCATTTTCTTCTTCGCACGAAGCGCTAGTTCTGTAACGTGTTCTCTATGTTACGTCATCCAATTGTTATTTTGAACGTTTTACGACAGATAGTACGTCTTCAAAATTAAACGCGCGCGATAAAAATACAATAAAGATGGATTATTTCTTTCGAATAATGAAATTATCGACGTTGGTCTAAGCTTTGATACATCGTTTATACTTTAAGTCTTATAATCCTATAATATAGTTTGTCCTTAACCGTCCTTATACGAGGAATAATGGTAAAGCTACGTACTTTTATCTAAAACGTTATTTCCCTTGTCGTCTGTCGTGAATTAGATTCAATAATGCATTTTCAAAGCTTGTTGTTGTTGACGTTTCACAACAGGCTTCTCCTTTTTCATTCTCTTTCTAATGCAGTCTACGATTCCACGAACCAACGATCGACTGTCCCATTATTTACATATTTCTATCCAAATATTATTTCTAGATACATATATTTGTAGCGACTTTTGCAGTACTCGATTTTGAAATTTGAACTCGTAAAAAAATAACGACACCAATATGTAATGCAAATAGAGAATGATAAGGGACATGAACGAATGCCGATATTATTGGCTCAACGTGTTTCGATCCTTTTGTTTCAAGGATTTTTCGAGTCGCCTAGAACCATATCGTAAAACGATGGTAAAATTACTCCGGAAAGGCATCCTGCCAATTAATTTTAAACGCGAGCCGCAAAAATATCTAGACTTAACGTCTGGATTTCAACGATAGACACGCGAGGCGGTATTATGGTATATCCACACGTAGGTGTATCTTTGTTTAAAAGCAGTTTAGACGTTAAGCCACGCTATAATTTCTAATTAGAAGGTCTACCAGGTCGCCGCACCTGTTCGCAAACTAAATTCTCTCGTAACACATCGCGTCGATGATGCAATTTGCAAATGTCTCGATCGTTTCTTAACAATTTTCACATAGTACTTGTTAAGGCGATACAATAATTTCAATCATTTGCTTATTTACTTTCCTTTCTAAAGTTTACATATTTCGTTTTAAGCTATGACAATTTCGTAATAATTCCAACGAATCATATATTTGCAGCGTGTGTTAACTCGTAATCAGCCAATACTTATAGTACTGTTACACGTGTGGAATAAATAGAGATAAATGTTCTAACAGTTGGAAGTTAAGGCGATATTTAATAAAATTTAAGTAACCGAATCTTTTAAAACAGAACGTAAATCAAATTGCTCGTTATACATAGATGCATATATGTGTATGGGATTAAAACTACGTACGATAGCTTTACTTTCATTAAAGTCATTCGTTTAAATCGTTAAAGCAGAAAATGCCGTGGAATTAACTCGAAAGAATTACTCGAAGAGATTATGATACGTCGATGATGATTATCGAACGGGAAAAGCTAACGCCAAAAAATTTGGATTAAAATTTCAGTCGATACGTAAATTTACACTGAAATATATAATTAAAGGACAAACTTAGGTGATCTTAAATATATCGGAAGAAACCTAAGAAATTCTTCTATTAACGAGACTCGACTAAGATTATCCATACACCCTGATAATGATAATGCATCGTAGACAGTGAACGTTAGTGTTAGTTCGAGTTAGTTAGTGACGTTAGAGTTTTACGACCGAATAGGTATACGTAGAGCGTACAGGTTTCGAAAAATAACGAAACCGGACTTGAAACTTTTATTACACTCGTGTTATGTTGTTCCATCGTTTTTACAATTGGGCTGCAAATATAGTGGAACTGCACTTTCTTACGATAGTACGTACGTTCCTTACTAAGAGGAGTTCCTTTTTCGATAAAATCCGAATAAGGTGTTCTCAGGCGAAAATTTTTCTAGGAAGCAGTACCTGCTCGCCTGATGAAACTTTCTTACTTCCTCGTCGTGACGTCTAATAACTTGTCGTGCATTCTTGAAGACGAAAGTTAATTTTTGAAGGAATTAGCTCTTGAGGAAATTCCTCTGACCATCGTTCCAAACGTTTTCCCTCGACAACTGATATCGTTACAAATTGATAGATCGCAAACTTGGACGCATCAATATATAACCAAGGATGTATAAACCCCTATGGTTTCCTTCGAATTTTATACAATCAACCTACGTGTAGGTGCTATGTGCACATACTATGTATCGAGCCATTAGGCTAAAGTGCTTGATACATTGCTCAATTTCTTATTAATTATATAATCGAGCACGAACTTTGTACGAATTGTCATAATTTGTTCGATACGTTTGATACGTAATTCGTTTGCATTTGATATTTCACGGAAGTTCAGTCTTCTTTTCTATCGAATGTAATAGGTTTATCAGTCAAGCGGTCATTTAACTAATAACGAACGCGACGGGCGGAAAAAATAGAGAAAGAGATTACGCGTATGGGTATGAGGAAATCTCTTTCTGCGATCTTCTCCTATGCCCAAGTGATCCTATTGGATTTCGATTAAGCGGCAAAGAGCTCTCGTTTTTCTCTATATGCGGAATCATCGATGGTCCATCTTGCCACGTACGTAGAAGCACAACGTTCTAACGGCCGTGATCACCTGCCCCGTAAAAGGATCAAAGAACATCGTTGAAGAAAGTTCAGATTGAAATCAGTCGACAGACGAATACAAGAATTTCTCGGTCTACGGTCTATCTAATAAACAGACGGTAGCTCAAGTACGTTTCATGAACAAAGATGAATCGAACGCTGCAATGTTTATCCTCTACTTTTGTATTTCGTATTTTGTATTTTTCTGGGAAATTTCTCGAGATCAATACAAGCAAATGTATGTAGATAGAGTGCGAGCACTGACCTAGCGATGCACGCAACACACGATGTGACAATTTGTGAGAAAAATTCTCAAAAGGAAAGGCCAAGAAATTAAAGGCGTGAAGATGAAATCGAGCGAAGGGGAGCCAAGGGACAGCGACGATCTCGTCAAATGCGAATGTGTCCCGCGAGTCTAGTTACACGAATAAATATAACAGATGGCCATCGAGATTTTCTCGACGACGCAACGCGACGATGCGACCCCTTGCGAAACCTTTTTCGTTGTCGTCCTAATTTTACTAACAAATAATTTTAGAATAGTAGAGAATAGATATACCTACGTGGATATATGAACATAGATGTACATATATGTATGCAGAGTATATGTAACAAAGTAGTAGTAACAACTCGCGTAGTGGCGAGTGAACGGTAAAAGCGAGAATTTAAGGGAATTGACTTGCGTGATAGGGTGATATGGTTTCGAAAAAAGGGATATTCTATTACATTCCTTTATAGTTCTATATTTTGTTCCGATCTTGCATCTTCATTTTAGCGATATACAGGTTTTATCGTGAAATATAAAACGTTTGTTCCGCTTATTGTTTTGCAAGCAAAATGAGAAATTTAATTTCGAAAAGTTCCATTCTTGGAAACAGCTTAAGAGGTTGATCTGCATATTCGATGCTTCGAACTCCAAAATATATAATTTCTTTCGATAGAGTAAGCTTTGTACCGAAGAATCGACAATGGCTAAAAGTAACTTTGTAGTTTATTATTTTAATGATTGAATCTTACGGCAACCTGAGATATATCTTGGACATGGTAAGTAAAAAAATAGTTAATCGCAAAAGAAATGTTTCTAGACAAACTATGACGATAGACTTAATAAAACGAGGAGCAAAATCATTTGAATATTTAGTAGTTCCCCTTTAATGTGAAACGCCCTGAGATGCAATAAATATTTCGCAAACAATTTAGGGACGATCGAAAGATTATTTTGCAATTTCGACAAGTAGAACTCGAGATAATGAAAATACATTTAAAGGAACAATGGTAAATTCTATTCCAGACATTTATTCCAAACATTTAGATCTCATATACTACAAAGTTTAACGACTCTCATGGTTGGGGTAAATACAAAATGAAAAATGAAAAGTATGAATTCTTCTTAATCATTATGTATATGTATATGTATATGTATATATATATATGTATGTTTATGCGTATATGTATGAGTTTAGTTCGTTTAGTTATTTCAGTGAAAGTGAAACGAGTAAGAAATGCAGGATATCAAATAGCCAGACAAAGATGTATTACGTTAAAAAATATAATTTACGTGCTGTGTCTTCTTAATACAAGATATCGTAGGTCGGGCGATCAGCAACGTTGATTAACAACGTTTCGTGCTGCGTACCTATGGTTCCTGACGTAATACAAGTTTCATTAAGCGCAAAGAAGCGGAGTATTCTCCGGTATAATATAAAAACAAAGGGAAGGAAACAAAAGGAGAGAAATATATAAAGATATTGGTAGAATTACAAGCTTTTTATAGTTTGTAAACTTACATATTTCGATATATTATCCTTTGTCCCAGTTTTAATATCGCGCAAACAGCTTTGAATTTGCACCATGCGAAATATATTAAACGTGTAATCGTATAGTTGTTTTCCTGTATTTTCTTCCATGTTCCTGTGTATGAGAAATTCGTAATCGAATTCGTATCGTTCGAATCGTAATTCGAATATCTTCCGAACGTTCCGTCTTTTTCGATCGACTCTACGAATCATCAGGTAACGAAAGCATCCAGTGTGCACGCGAAATAATGAAACAAAACGTCAAAATAGTATCATGGATATCGAACTTTTTCTTCTACCATCGATCTCCGTAGCCTACTATGATAAAGCTCCCAAGCTTTCTTCGACTAAACGAAGAATCGTATATGTATATCAATAGAAAGTAACGACTAATAACAACAACGATGGCTACTAAATACCAGTACATTTGTTTTTCAGGTTGTGAAAATGATGATTGTTGTCGTAGTAATATTTGCAGTATGCTGGCTACCGTTTCACGTGTACTTCATCATAACGTCATACTTCCCGGAGATTACAAACGAGCCATACATCCAAGAAGTTTTTTTAGGTATTTACTGGCTCGCCATGTCTAACAGCATGTATAATCCCATAATCTACTGTTGGATGAACTCCAGGTAAAATATTACTTTAAAACAGGACGTAAGTACCTTTCACTAACCTTTACGAAATGCCTTTAGGAAATTTAAAAACATGTATTAATCGATCCAGTTTCCAGTTTCCATTTTAGTTTCATGATTAAACATTTGAAAATTTGCCACGTATAAGTATTTGCCTAATTATACTATCGAAAGGTTTCTTCAACCCATTCGTAAACTTCTAATGACATATGAGTAAAAAAAAACTTGTTTCGTGCTTACGTAACTATTTGTTTCGTGGTTGTGAAAATGCTAAATATAATAAAAAGGGTAACGGAGAAATTTCGAGAAATTTATAAAATAGAATTACTAAACTTATTTTTGTTATTTGCTAATATGGTAAAATCGCGTCAGTAATAGTTTACACCTTACTTGATGCTTTTCTGAATAGAACAACGAAGAAAATACATCGTGCGATAGTCGAGTTTGAATCAGTCGGATTTCTTTGTTTAATTAATCGTTTCGAAATTGACACGTAATAGACGGCATTTCGCACGCTTCGATCGCAGTTACGGTTTCTGTAATCTGAAACCACATTTAACAGTGTAATGTCGTATATTCAACATCAAGATTTGAATTTAATTGGTAAAAGTTTGCAGCTAGTGGTGATAATGGCATTTTGATAGAACCTTATCGATTACGATGTCGCCATCGCGCAAACCGACCGTACTCTGACTAAACGTTGAAACAGTGAATAAGGCTAAGTGAATTCGACTTTTCGTTTGATTCGCTTGTTTCGTCGATTTTCTCTTCGTACGGGAGAATGGATGCATCGTTGTTACTACAATAGTATTAAGGATAATATTAACGATAGATTTATCACAAGGCGAAAAATTATCGGTAGGTGTCGTAATTTAAGACACGAATGTATTTTCAAATCGAAAATACGTTCTTTTGAAAAAGAAAGTCTCTGTCTAACACGGACGATGATATGTAGATAGGGATTTCAATTGCGGTACGTTCTCTCGTAGATACGACATAGGTACATCATATGTACATATCAAAGAACCGCATGAATCGTCGAAGACAAATCCAGACAACATTGTTCGGCCCACAAACTGAATGAAACGGGTGCCGGATGATTGATTTGAAAATAGCCATTTACCAGAATCCCTTTACACGTCATGCACAGCAATTGTTCCGGTGAAATTTTACCGCTAGTATCAGTGCTGGTACCAATACCAGTACCAGTATCAGTATCAGTACCAGTACCAGTACCAGTACCAGTACCAGTACCAGTACCAGTACCAATACCAGTACCAATACTAGTATCGCTATTATCGTTTCGCATCAAACAAGTAAAATACTGCTGTCCGTAACAAACAATCTCCTCACAATAGACCAATAGTTCTCGTCGTTAACACTCGTGCATCGAACATATTGTACGTATACGTAGAATGTGTACAAGTAGGTTGGAGAAAGAAAAAAGAGTGAAACGTAACCCGCGATCCTTTCACTTTCCAATAAAATATTAGCTGTGTTTTCCGTCCGAAATGTATATCGGGCGATATTCTGTTTGAAATACGATTTTAAATGGAATCATTTCTCCGTCCAGATCTGTCAAATCCAATTTCCCGTAAACCTTTTAATTAGAAAAGAATAAATTGGAAGGGAAATTGGTATTTATTTAACGATTTGACCAATAACGGTTCCGTCTTGCAGATTTCGGCGAGGATTTGCCCACTTTTTCTCCTGGTGTCCGATGGTACAGGTTGCCGCCGAGCCCTCGTTATCACGTTCCGAAGCGTTAACGTCTCGATACAGTTGCACCGGAAGTCCTCAAACCAACACCAGGATATCACGGAACGGTACGTGTACGTCTTCCTGCACACCCTCGGAACGTCCTTGCACCACATCGTCCACAACATCCACGAGCGAGTCACGCTTCGAACACGACGACGCCCACACGGATGCACGAAATTCTTACATAGATTTGCACGACTTCACCGTTACCAGCGTCGTCCTTGGCGAAACCAATGCCGACGTGAATCGCGAGACGTAGTAACGAAATCGACTTTGAAACCCCGATCGTTGTTTCCTTCGATATCCGGTTCGATTCTTTTCGATAATTTACCCCGCGGGACAACTTTCTAATCGAAAGCATCGATGAAAATAATCATTACACTTCAGGGTCTAAAATATCAATATTAAACACATACGATTAGATTCGCGTTTACGTGTACATTTTTTTAGAAGAAAAATTATTATCAATTAACCCTCGCGGCTATGAGACGATCGTTTCGAATGCAAGCATCGAATAAAATCAAAGAATGGATTTTTTAATGCTTTCTAGTTATATCGTGATAGTGCGATCAGCAAAGACATGTGAAACACAAAATTCAATTTTCTAACTTCTCTAGATTTCTATTAGCTTCATAGTGTTCGTATTGTATGTAATTTGTATCGTGCTATAGAGTGTTTTATTGCATAGTTTTCATCATTTTCTCGTGGTTTTCTTATTTTTACACATGTAAGTCTGTAGCTTTTATTACGCAACCTACAATTCCTAAAGTTTTACGATGTTTGGAAATTTGATCCTATTTTTAGAGTTTCATAGTTTTTAGAAACTTGTAATAAAGATGCAACAGTAACTATATAAAGATAAATAAATATATTTTTCGAATAAAATTCGTAATTATAATTTTTTCTCTTCCCGTCTGTACGCGACGATTTTCAAATTACTATGGAAATTGAAATTTCATACATGGTTGGAACATAACCGATTCATTGTTGTCCGCGGTCTGCCGTTTGAGGGTTAATAAAATAATATATATATATTTCTAGTACGTATATAGTATGCCAAATAATTTTCTATTTTTCTTTTATCAACGACTAACTTATCAACAATGCTTGTCTTCGTAATCGCGATACACGGTTGAATTACCAACAATCGGCCGATTATAACGAATATTAACAATGCGTTTATAGCTTTTTCATACAATGCGGTTGATGTGAAAACTATTCATCGTCATATGTAATCTCAGATATATGTATACATTTATACATTTTAGGCCCTGGTATTTCGTCATCGAACGATTCATAAAAAAAAGATTTGCACAAATGGAATGCGGGAGCTTGAAGTTATTTTACATACAGGTACATATGTACCTATGTACTTTTGTTTAATTGATAAAAAAGTGAAAAATATATGGCAGGTGTATTAAAGTGACGTAATATATATCGGGTGTTATTCGAATACAATGAGATATAATATCAACGTCATGATATAAAGCCGCCACAATGTTGTCTCCTTCTTATCGACAATTTTATGATCGATGATTTTTGTCGTTTAGAACTTTCACCTTAAGATTTATTATCGTTACTCGACTTTGAAATAACAAAAAAGACAAAACTACGGATAAAAATAAAGTATCGCGTTACCAAAAGAAGGCGCAGCAATTTACGAATAACTCCAATCTCCCGTATGTAACTTAAAAATGAATTTTTACACGTGTGCTTGTACATTAATCCATTAAGGACGAAACAGTGAAATAATCCGGAAAAGTTGCGCAAATGCAATGTTATTTAAGAGTATAGATAAAATAACTTTTACAGTACCGTTTTGCTAAGATCAAAAAAAAGAAAATAATCCATCATAGCGCTAAAAATACTTCAATTTCTTAAGACTTGATAAAATTACACGTGGAATCTAGGTGAAAGAGATAATTAGTAAGAAACGATATTAGGCAAATCCTTGGAATGTCCTCTTCTAACCGGGAAAATTAACAATTACAATCGAGTAGTAGTGTGTAAATCGAATGCAATAACAAAATTCCATATCGTTAACGCAATGTTGCCCCTTAATGGGTTAATACCGAGTCATTAAATGAGATGAAATGAAATGGACTGAAATGAAATGAGACGAAATGAAATGAAGTGAAATGAAACTAAATTAAATTAAACGAAATGAAATAATTAAATGAAATGAAATGAAATGAAACGAAATGAAATGAAATGAAATGAAATGAAATGAAATAAAATGAAATGAAATGAAATGAAATGAAATGAAATGAAATGAAATGAGATGAAATGAGATTACGATGCAGTAGAAATCGATTCGAAAATAAGAATCGATAAATGGATGCAAACAAGGCCTGTTTCTAATTTCGATAGGCACGGCGAGAATACCTTTGTACCTACAATCTTCGAGAGGAGGAAACGATCGGTTTTTGGCGCAACGTCGGGGAAGAAAGTGGAAAGCTTCGCAAACTGCCGGCCATGTATCTTGACAGGAGGAGGAAAGTCCTGAGCAACGAGTACATACCTGGATATAAGAGTACATATCCTAAGCAGTCAATCTCTTCAAGATTCATCTGACGCAAGTGAAATAGGACAAGTTTCAAGAAGCCACATGACGTATCGGTTCCCCTTTATTACGCAGAGCCATTATTATTCAGCAGAACGATAGCTCCAACATTATTGATTCTGTTCAATAGAGATGTTAACTATCGGCTAAATATTAGATCGTATTTCCGTCTTGACGTGGAGTACAGCTAAATCGAGATTTGACGAAAAGAACAGAGTTTCTTCCTGTCGATAGATATCGTTATATACGAATACATAAGCTCAGACTTGAATTACCGTCGAATGTGAAGTTGCCATTTATGATTCCTTTCGATTGCTACACCATACAAAACGATTAGATGCTTAGTTTTATATTATTTCCGTTAAATTCTGTATACTTTAAATACTTTGTTGTTTAATACTTTGTGTATAAAAAATAACGGACCAATAATCTACTTACTACTATTTGCATATGTTAACGAAACGTTCCTTTTTTCTAACGGAAAAAGATCGTATAGTTAGGAGAAATTTCTAACAAGAGTATATAAACTATAATACATATATAATAATACATATATAGCAGCTTCGTGTACGATTTGCTTGTTTGCAAAATATATAAAGTGCTTGCTTAATTAAATAATCTTCGTGCTCCTACATGGTGTATCGATATAATTGCTGATAAATCAAATAGATGATAAAAAGATATCTATATTAATATTCGTTGCACGAAGATATCCTATTTGAAATTCTAATTTCCTAAAAAACGAAATCTATATTCTTTATGGAATTTTACTACTTACATGTACAGGCTTGTATCTTAATAATTTACCTCGCAACTATCACTGCTCTGAGAAGCAAGAAAAATATTGTAATCGATAGAAAAAATGAGCACGACTATCATAAATTCGCAAAGAAGATTGTGACAAGCAAACGTTTTCGTTATAAAAACGCACAAATGTACTTATAAATAAAACAACCGTTACTAAAATTTACATATTTTTATTGAAAATATATTTACTTCGTTCTTTCTGAAATTAAATCTCATGATTTAAACTGTCTTAGTTATTTATCGTTTAGCCTGTTTATTTTTCATTAAATCGATATAATATAAACCGTTACTAGTACGCGAAAGGCGTCATAGGAATTAATCGGTCATTTGTAAAAAATCGCCGTTCGTAAAAATAATCTTAGCTCACTAATATGTGTTAAAGAGCATTGACAATATTTCGCTAGCAACGCTATTCTTACCGAGCAAAAATTCTGTCCAACAAAGGAAAAAATCAACATACTTCTCTCTATATTTAAAACGGCGAACTGCAAATGTAAATTTATTATTTAATTGATATTATTTAGATTTTCGGCTGTAATGCAATTCGGCGAAAGAACACACTGGGGAAAACAAACGCTTTTTAATAAACTAGTCAAGTGTAAATGTATAAGTGATTATATCGAATATAATGAAAAAGCTTGTCGGTAAAGTAAGAAGTGAATATATTGTTTGATATGTATAAAAATATGTGAATACTAGCGTAACAGAGTACTGCTTCTGTCTATAGGGAAGGACTCGCTATATTTGATTGTATTTTCAACATAAGCAAACACTATGGAAACTAAGAGAAAGAGGAAAATATATGATGTCAACATAAATATTTATTGTAACTTGTATCTACTTTGGTCAACCTGTCGAATAGCTAGCTCCTCACCGATTTCGATATGCAAGATGATTTAAAGAATGTAATTTGATGTAATGTAAATTAATAAATATATAGTGCAGGCTTTTACTTTTACAAAGTAAAACAAGTAAAGCAACCGGTAAATTCGTCTCTAAAGAATGAAAAAAATCAATATCAAACGAGAATAGTAAGAGAAATATGTATTTCGTAAGTATAATATTTAGTATATCATATTGACAAATAGATGCATCATTTGTTAGAAAATATTTGTAACAAAAGTAAATTATAGTCCATAAGAAGGTACAAATAAACTAATAATCTTAATCGCGTAACTTTCGACGCATCTCTGCGTACACGAATATTACACGAATATTACACGAATAATATACCCTTTGTGTCGTATCTCACTAGCAGCGATGTATTAAGATTAATTTCTAAATTCTAGACTCCGTCGTTATTATAGTAGGGCTATACAATGCCAACAAAAGGGATGATGGTATAAATAATCTTCGTAGGCAATCCGTATGGGATAACCTTCACCCATTCTAAAATATATGGGATTGATGTCCGTGACAAAAAAATCATACAAAAAATCAATTGACGGAATCAGACGCTCACGCTAATAATTAATGGGACCTCTACGTTCGTCTTGTAGACGTCCTAGACGCGATCTTCGGTTTATGATACATCTCTAAACATCTAGAATGTTCGAAGTGCACGTGATTGCCGAATATACAGCAATTCGTGATTGATTAGCGACCGATTGACCGGTTAATGCCCCTTTGATTTTCTTAAAAGACAGAGAATACTATCCATATGTATCATAAACCTAGACTTTCGACTGTCCTAGCAAATCTTAAATATAAAGAGAAAAGAAAAATGATTACTAAACATCTTACAAATTGTTCTTCCACCGATTATTGATATATCCGCTTAATAAAGGCAAACTAATATAAATGATATAAATAATTTCAAAAAGTTTTCAAAACCACAGTATTTTATACATTATCATACTATATTTCAATTTAACTTGTTAACAGATTATATCTAACAATATAAATTCGTGTACACGTTATAAAAGCTATTCTACAGAATACTTAACTTTTACAGTATCTTTTTTTACATTGGTGCAATTTTCTTCGTCCCATTCTATATAGTCGAACGTAAGCGGAAACATTCTATCAGTGTATATTAAGCCCTGAAAAAAAAAACAAATAATTGCACGACAATTTGTGATATCTACACAAGCATTTATCAATCAGTATATTATTACATCCCATTAACTCGGTAATAAAAAATTATACTTCATGGAGTTATTCCTGGACGAGTAAGACCACAGTTTGCTAGATTAATACCTAACGGAGTTAACCTCATCTGGTTTTCCCCTTCACATGGTTGTCTTTGTTCTATCAGTCAAAAATCATGTCCGATCTTATTTGAGAGACTTATTAGTTATTATAAATCTATTGAGTCCTAAGCAGCGCGATCGCGAAAAGTCCCAGCACATTTGAGCGCTACGGACGGCTGTCGGTATTTTCTATTTCATTGTTATCTTCTCAATAATTTTTATTGAACAAAACTTGAAATATTTATAAACTAATAGTATGCATATATAACAGAATACAGATGTATTTCATAAAATAACAAATATGACGAGCGCTATTTCGCCGCTTGCTTCTCTTCGCAATCGATTAAGACAAGCGCTATCGCGCTGTTCGGCATTTTTCGACTCTGTTTTTTCAAAGACCGCTGCGACTCAAACGGCTATTCTAAATTTATTTACAACCATGGGAACATCAACATAGACAAAACAAGAATTCTCATGCTGTTCATATATAAAAGACTGCTCTATAGAATGATTTTGCAAAAAGAAAAAAAGAGACCATTTATAATTCAAATGGGGGCGTTCCATGTTCTAACAAATAAAATACATAATAAATTTAGTGATTGTTCTTAACATTGTCCTTAAGTATATCTACATTTTTCGATACATTACACTACAGAGGAACAGGAACATTCTATTTTGAACAAAAAAAAAATAATAATAATAAAGAGAATTTATATTAGATTAGAAAGTACTAGTAATTAATTTCTCCAGAATGAAACAGTTCTATAATTATATAACTAAAGACCATTATACATATCTTACATCATTAATAAGAAAAGCTATTAAAGCTAACATATTTATTGTAAGATGGTTGAAAAAATATACGATATATTAAAT